CTGATTCAACTTTGCAGAATTTGACATGCCGGAGGCCGAAGCCAAAGGCATGGAAGTTTGCGAAGGTGTACGGGCAGGCGCAGATACGCTCATCACGACAAATCAACAAAAGACGAGGAAGCAGAGGAAGACGGTCATTTCTCAGAAGGAAGACTCAAGACACTGCGACTGAACTTGGCTTCTTCCAGCTACAGCACAACAGCAAGAAAAGAAGACTGCTTGCTGAGAATGTTTGCTGATACCGGTAATAAGATAAACAAGATCTTGCTGTCGATGGGTTGGGCTCGATAGTTCGATAGACAGCTGGCGGTGATAAACGCGCTCTGCGTCAGTGGCTCGATTAAAGTGCGCGCTAACAAACATCGAAACGTTATTTCCAGAACATCGACTAAGTTATCTGCCAATTCGCTTCCGCCTCTATTTGATCTTTAAAACCCGACAATGGCTCTCCGCGGTCGGGCTGCTTACGTACATCGTAGATTTGTATCTACATTGCATGTCGAGCAGCTCAATCATCGTGAGGTGGAAAGCAAATGGCGAAAAATCTGGAGCGAGAACCCAGCTCCGGGCGTGCCCTCTCGAGGCAAATTCTACTGCCTCTCGATGTTTCCCTATCCTTCTGGAAATCTGCATATGGGCCATGTTCGTGTATACACAATAAGCGATGTAATTTCACGATTTAGACGAATGCGGGGATATGACGTGCTTCATCCTATGGGCTGGGATGCCTTTGGCTTGCCAGCCGAGAACGCGGCTATCGAACGCAACGCGGATCCTCACCTTTGGACTCAGCAGAATATCGCAAACATGAAGGAGCAGTTGCAAAGGATGTTGGTTAATTTTGACTGGGATAAGGTATACTTTGAACCATCCAGGTGCCATTTTTCTAATGTTACTAACTTGCTTAAAGGAACTTACGACATGTTCTCCGGATTATTACGAGCATACGCAAAAGCTATTTCTTGATTTATTCAAAGCAAACTACGCATATCGAGCACGAGCTGCCGTTAACTGGGATCCAGTTGACCAAACTGTTCTAGCCAATGAACAAGTAGACAGCGAAGGCAGGTCCTGGCGCTCGGGAGCTCTTGTGGAGCAAAAATTACTCTCTCAATGGTTTTTCAGGGTTACCGCGCTTGCAGACGAGCTAGACAAAGATCTTGAGCTACTCAGTGAATGGCCTTCTGCAGTCACAACACAACAATCACACTGGATCGGGCGTTCACAGGGTGCAGAGATTGATTTCGAACTCACAGATGGCAGCAAACCTTTGACGGTATACACCACACGTCCGGATACATTACCAGGCGTTCAGTTCATAGCAGTAGCTGCATCTCACAATGTCTGCCAATCGCGCCCTGAAATATGCGAGTTGATAACACGAATGAAGGCCATAGATCCGGATTCAAATGAGGGCCTGCTTATACCTGGGTTACATGCTATTCATCCGTTGACAGGAGAAGAGATTCCTGTTTTCACAGCTCCTTATGTTTTGAGTGATTATGCTCGAGGGGCTGTGATGGGAGTACCTGCCCATGACAATAGAGACTATGCATTTTGGAAGCAAAATATGCCCGGGAAACCTGTGCATTATGTCGTTATACCTGAGGGTTCAAGTGAGAGGATAGAGAACGGGCCTTACACCGAAAAGGCAGGCATAATTTCTCCTTCAATTCCAAAGTATGGAGGTAAGACCATCAAAGATGGCACGGCTTTGATAATGAAGGATCTTGAGACCTCTGGCACTGGTCATGCGACAACTAATTTCAAGATTCGAGACTGGCTTGTTAGTCGCCAGCGATATTGGGGAGCACCCATTCCTATCATTCACTGTGACTCTTGTGGGGCTGTCCCAGTTCCAGAAGAGGAACTTCCCGTTTTACTTCCCTCTAGGATCAAGTCTGAGGGAAGCGGATCGCCTCTCGCAAGAGATGAGGAATGGGTCAATGTTGCGTGTCCAAAATGTAAGCAGCCAGCTAAACGCGACACTGATACTATGGATACATTTGTCGACAGCTCGTGGTATTTTTTCCGATTTGCAGACACGCATAATAAAAGAGAGCCGTTTTCATACGAGACGGCTTCCTCGCAGCTTCCAGTTGATCTTTACATTGGAGGCTCGGAGCATGCAATTTTGCATTTACTTTACTCTCGCTTTTTTGGCAAATTTTTAATGAAACAAGGTCAATGGAGCGGAGGAGACTTGAATGGAGAACCGTTTCGGAAACTCATTACACAGGGTATGGTGCACGGTCGCACATTTACCACGCCCGAGACTGGCAGATTTTTAAAACCTGAAGAAGTTGATTTATCTGGTTCGTTTATATTTTCCAAGTCGTGATATCTTTCCCAATGTTAATACTAACAAGCATGTTTTGTAGATTCGGCCAAACCGATTATCAGGGCTACTGGAAAAACACCGAACATTTCTTATGAAAAGATGTCGAAGTCGAAATACAACGGCGCAAACCCAGATGACTGCATCAACAAATACGGAGCCGATGCGACGCGTGCACATATCCTTTTCCAGGCACCAATCCAGGATACACTTGAATGGGACGAGAATAAGATTGTCGGCATTCAACGATGGCTGTCTCGTGTTTGGAGACACGTACTGACTGTTTGCGACGACGCTCAAAAGCAAGACATCTCTGACTTCACTATTCCTGCGACTGATAGTAGGACAGAGGCAGAAGTCAAGCTATGGAATGACATACAGAGTACTATTGCTAAAATAACAACAGCATTGGCAAGCGACTACACTCTCAATACGTCAATATCCAACTACAACAAACTGACAAATAGCATACTTGACGCTTATAGAAAGTCGAAGGAATCTACCAGTGAGGCAGACAAAGTAGGCACTGCAATCATGTTTAATTCAGTGATGAAGCTCATTCAGGTGGCGGCTCCAGTCATTCCTGCTACCGCTGAAGAATGCTGGGCGGTACTTTTACAAGTTCAAAAGAAGGCTTGGTCGTCTGTTTTCGAGATTGGGTCATGGCCAGAAGCCGAAGAGCTACAGTCGCTATCGCCACTGGTCGATCATGTGGTGTTTGTGAATGGCAAGATGAGGTTTATGGCCAAACTGGATGAAAACTGGTCCCAAGACCAAATGGTGGATGCTATTATGCAGACACCAGAAGGTCAACACTGGCTAGACGCGAAGGCTGAAGGAAAGAAGATACAGCGAGTGATTGTTCCAAAGGGACGCAAAAACGTCAGTTTCATTTTGAAGTAGGAGACATGTATATAGAAAACTCTAGATTTTTGTACATAAGGCTTTATAATGAGCATGCAAAGAAAATTACGTAGACACGCAACGTCTCAGCTTCTATGTTTTTTTAATCCGTATATTCACAGGTAAAGTACATGCATGAAAATATTACACTAAAACGTATCCATAACTTTTCCCTTTTCAATCCTCTAAGCCTATATAATGAGTTAGCATTTAGCCACCACCTGTTTCCAGAAACTAACGCACCTTCAACGCGAACTTTCGCTGGGGGAAAGCAACATTCTTCTTCTTCTGCTTCTCGGTAACCAAGCTCTTCTGCTTGGGGGTGAGAGCTCTCCGCAGAGCGCGAGTCTTCTTAACGCGGAGATCGACGGGAAGGTACTTCTTCTCGGCGTAGAAGAGACGGAGCTGACCACGCTGCTGCTGATTGATGACAGTGAGAACACGGGCAATCGACTTGCGAACAGTGTTGATGCGGATCAGGCCAGAGGCAGAGCCGCCTCTGGCTTTCTGGGCCTTGAGCGTCGAAAGCTCTAGCTTCAACTCATCGAGCTGCTTCTCGAGGTCCGCCTTGGACTTTTCACGGAGAGTGTAGGCCTTGACACCGGGCTATAGTGAGAATAGGTTAGATCCAGACGCTTCTCAACATCTTAATGAGAGATAATACACACCATTATGACTGTTGTTGAATTGGATATGAACGGTGGTTGCTGAGCTAACTACTAACTGCCGCTTCACTATCATCGCAGACGACTTCAAGGTTCTGTGTTGTGCGGCGTCTTCTGTGTGACTGCTAAATCAGTACTTTAGGGTTAAGACCTAAAATAAGTCAGCTGATTTGCCAGTCCAGAGCATGCGGCTTACTCAAATGTACGCAAGGGTCAACATTTCAATCACGTGCGACTTGTCGTCTCAATCAGGCTGTACACACCCATTTGAGCAAATGTAGTCTGAATCCTCCGCAATACTGCCTCGAGATGTCTGAATTTGGCTCATATGCAAGCTTCGGCCAGCTACGGTCGCAGGCTCGACAGCTCGAATCCCAGACTGAGTCTCTATTTCTTCAATACTCTGCTTTTTCACAGCATCCCCCAGCAGAGCCGACGAGTGAGGAAACAAGGGTTGTCAAGGATTTGGATGCAATCCTCACGCAAGTACGACTAACAATCCCCCTTGATATCGATGCGAATCTATTCAATTGCAAATGATTGTTAACAGTCTTATTTAGCGCGAAGAGATTCTTGCCTCTCTCACCCGCTTGCTCGACTCAGAGCAGCTCGCGTCAGCTACAAAGCTTCAACATCTTCAACGCCACAAGGAAATCCTCGTCGAGCATCAGAGAGAGTTCTCTCGCCTCACATCTGTTATAAATCATGAACGACAACGTGCCAATTTGCTCACATCCGTGCATAACGACATCGATTCGTTCTCACGAAATACAAACTCCTCGTCGTCGGCACCCGTCGATCCTCGTCGTGAGGCAGAATATATGCTCAATGAACGATCGCGAATTGAACGCTCAGATAACTTAGTTGACGGTATTCTTTCACAGGCGTACGCTACCCGAGAAGAGTTTGGAAGACAGCGACAGGTACTGGCCAATGTCCAGCGACGAGTAACGAGCACCGCCAGTCGGATTCCTGGCATCAACACAGTGATATCAAAGATCAATACTCGCAAGAAACGGGACAGCCTAATTATTGCAACTCTTATTTCTCTTTGTATTTTGGTTTTATTTTTCTTGCGATAGGTCATTCTGGGGTCAATATGTTTGGCCGAGTGGTTAAGGCGAAAGACTCGAATTGAATATTTGATATCTTTTCTCGTTTCGAGGCGCAGGTTCTATATATTTAACATGAAAGTTAAGACGATGATGGAACGAACTAGAGCAATTATTGCATGACATTTATTTAATACTGGCAACCCTTTCTGGAGAATATTGAGCTGTATCCATCGTAGTGTGTATATGCTTATGTGGCAATGGGGAATGCAATTTAATGTTGAGTATGTATGTTCGAGGATCTCCCGGATTTTTTCATGCTTATATTGCCAGACCGATATTTTTGTGGTTCTGTGACCACTTCATCACCGTTTTGGCATGTATAATTACAATTCTCTGCATTCATATATATCCAATTATTTGCTGTTTTAACCGTTATCTTGATTGTCTCGCCGATCCTGCTGATGGGCATTATGTCATCAGATGCAAACTTTAAACTCCCAACCAATTTTTTTTCTCGCCCTAAGTTATTCAGCTCGCTCCATCGCGCCTCTCTTGTTTTACACACATATTCTGATTTTACGCGGTTGAGATCAGAATGGATTACCAATCTGTATTTGGTGCTACTGCTGCTGCCATTAATGGCGGTGCTACGCCGCTAAGCGCTAACGCGCAAGAACAGACAATGGCGACTGTTTTATGTTGTAACTGCGGTGTTCCTATTGATGGTACCAGCGGTCTGTCAATGTGTTATGATTGTATCAAGCTGTCTGTTGATATTACGGATGGTATTCAAAAGGAAAGTACTCTTAGCTTTTGCCGAAATTGCGAGCGTTTTCTGCGGCCGCCCAGTCAATGGGTGACTGCTACTTTAGAGAGCCGAGAATTGCTTGCTTTGTGCCTGAAGCGACTGAAAGGTTTGCAAAAGGTTCGTTTTTCTCATTACAAGTTCATTAGTCTTATATCGAGCTAACTGGATTACGTGTCTCAGGTCCGCCTTATCGACGCATCATTTATCTGGACCGAACCTCATTCTCGCAGAATTAAAGTCAAGCTTACTGTTCAGCGCGAGGCCTTCAATAATACGATTGTCCAGCAGTCTTTTGAAGTTGAATACGTTGTTGTTGCTACACAGTGCCCGGATTGTGCTAAATCTTTTACCGTAAACACATGGCGTGCCACGGTGCAGATTCGACAGAAAGTTCCTCATAAGCGTACATTTTTCTATCTCGAGCAACTGATTCTAAAGCACAATGCTCACCGGGACACGATCTCGATTTTGGAAACAAAAGATGGCCTTGATTTCTTTTACAGTCAGAAGAATCACGCTATTAAGATGCTTGATTTCTTGAGCGGAGTTACGCCCATTCGCACAAAGAAATCTGAAGAGCTGATTTCAATGGATACGCATACAGCAGTACGCAGTTACAAGTTTACATTCTCTGTTGAGATTGTACCAATATGTAAAGACGATCTGGTGTGTTTACCTAAGAAACTTGCGCGGGCGTCGGGCAATATTTCGCAGTTGGTCCTTTGCTCTCGTGTCGGTAACGCAGTTCATCTTCTCGATCCATCCAGCCTTGATGCGACAGATTTGCAACCTTCTGTCTACTGGCGCCAGCCCTTCACTTCTCTTGCCAACAGTTCAACTTTAACGGAATTCGTTGTTCTTGATATTGAGCTGACTGGAACTGAAAAGGGAAGGTTGGCAATGGCTGATGCTACAGTGGCTCGATCTGTAGACATGGGTCGCAATGACACGACATACTATGTCAGAACCCATCTTGGTGGTATTCTGCACCCTGGAGACACCGTTCTCGGATATTTCCTTTCGAATGCCAATTTCAACCATGATCTCTGGGATACTTTGGATCAGCGAAACGTGCCGGATGTCGTTCTTGTCAAGAAGTCCTATCCTCGCAAGAAGAAGAACAAAGGCCGCAACTGGCGTCTGCGTCGTATGGCTAAGGAGTACAACGATAGAGATGACAATACAACTCAGTCCACCAAGCAGAGACAGATGGAGGCCGACAGAATTGAGCGCGACTATGAGATTTTCTTGCAAGAACTCGAAGAGGATCCAGAACTACGTAGCACAATTAATCTCTACAAGTCCTCAAATTCGCAGAATCCTGAAAAAGCGCGACCCGCACGGCCGACAAAGATGGATATGGATGGTATTGAAGAGGCTCAAGTCAGCATGGACGCAGATGGCGATGCTGCAATGGAGACAGATGGTGGAGATGAAGGTGTCGAATCTGATGACGAATCTGATGGATCAGCACCTGACGTTGGTCTTGATGAGCTATTGGATGAGATTGACGAGCTCACCTTGGAGGACGCTTACTTGTCCGAATAAGCTGCTTTATCTTTATTACTTAGTTTATTTGGAATATTGATTCATAACCTCTGTTTATTAAGCACAACTTATCTGGCATGAGTTCAGTGGTTCGTACTCATATTCTTGATTTTTGGTCGTCATTTCATAGGGAGGTTTTCCTGGTTACATTCGTTATGTGGCAATAGAGATGAGGTCGATTGCCATTGTTTAATTGGACAATAATTCAACTTTGAACCCTTTCCGCGTAACAATCCCATCAACCGTAAAGCAACATGCAGACAACTATTTTTTCAGTTTTCGGAATCTCAGCCCTTCTACTATTTGATATCCTTGTAACTCCACTTCTCTGTGAGCTTCTTTTTGTACTTGCGACCCTTAAATACCTGGACTCTGGCTTCGATCACACCACGCTCTTGCAAGCTTATGAACCGCTCTTTGGCCAGATTGCCTTCTGGTTTAAGAAGTCTCAAAGAATCAGTCAGTTCGTCCGCTAACTTAAGAGTCATTGGCTGCTCGGGCACTCTATATTTTCCGAGTTTATGTTTCCGAATAGTACGCACTGGCTTGCTAAGATTGATTAAAGTCGATTCATCCTTGGTGATAATATTGTTCGGAGCAGGTGACTCTCTTTTGATCAAATCATCTTCTTCTTTCTTGATAGAAACAAGCGTAGAATGTTCTTCCTCTTCTTCAGCATCACTATCAACCTCATCAAGTCCTAGCCTTTCCCGCTCGTCTAGAAGCTCTCCTAATTGTCGGATACGCTCTTGTCGGTCTTCTTCTCGTTTCCGTTCTTTATCTTCTTGTTCAAGCTTGAGATGTTCCTCCGCTAGGACAGCTTGCCATGAGTCCAACGACGGATTATAGGAGATTCCTTCCTTTGGTAAATCAACAGCTCTTCGCGATTCTTTAAATGCAATAGGTGGCTCCGACATTGTCACTGGTGGCTTCTCTTTTCGGACATAGCTCAAGGTTCTTGCTAATCCAATCTGCTTCCCATTTGCATGAATGTCTGTCTTGCTGCGAACCCCCTTCTTTTCTTTCTCCTGCGCCATTCGAACCTTTAGCAGCGCTGACTCCGATTCTGAATTGTCCGATTCTGCATTATCGGCCCAAGCATCATAGATATCTCCTAGAATATGACTCTCTCTCTCTAAATTTGCCACTGAAGCCTTTCCATCGGCTTGTCGACGCGCTTTGCGAAGAAGCCGTCCAAGATCTTTATAAGATACTCCCTGAACTTTTCCTTTCTTGCGTTCCTCGTGCGCTTCATTTTCTTTTGTTCGCTTCCGAGCAATTAATGCTGGAATAGCTGAGCGTTCCGCTAAAATCTGGTCAGCTTTTAACGGTCTCGAGAGGGCAATTGGAACCTTGCTAGAGGCAAGATCGTCGACAGCAAAAAGTTTGTCGGAGTCTAATTTGTCAAATGTAGTTCTATTTGAAGAAAAAAAGAAATTTAGCATTGAATTTGTGACGGAAAGAAAAATAGCATAGTGATAACGTACCCGACAATAATTTGCTCCTCGCGAGCAGTTTCGAGACCTTGCTCGACTTTCGAAACATCAATGTTCTTGCGCCATGCCTTTTTCCCTTTACGCGAGGGCTGAGCTCTAGTTTTACTCATTCTCTAAAATCAACAAAACTTTTTTTATAAGGATCCTTATAAGAAAAAGTCCAGGTAAAGTGTCTTAACCCAAATCTAATTCTCAAGAATTGATTCGCGACAGTACTGGAGTTTTCACTATTTTTTTTTCTTCTGCTAACTCCCAAGTTGATGCGGCGCGGTTGGGAGTTTAAGAGCCCTAAGCCTTATACACGATAGATTCGGCGTATGAAGCAGGAGACGCACAGATGCTGAGTGAGTTATGCTAATTCCCAAATTTTATTCAGTGGCCGACGAAAGAATTTAGAATTTATATTTTCCCTCAGATCCATTTCAGAAGATCGACTTTGTGCGAAAGCTAATATACAGAATGGCTTCGAATACACGAAAGAGAGATTGGTTCTCTACAGAAGAACATGAAGGGTCTGATTATTGTAAATCTGGAACAGACAGCGACGACGGTTCTGAAACGAATGTACCAACGGCGATGAAGGACAAAAAGCAGAAAACTGTCAAGGTCGAGAAGGGCAAAAGTGCGGTTAGCAAGTCAAAAGCAAATTTTCGGTTTAAGACTGTCTCTGATGATGAAGACGAAGAGGAGAACGAGAGCAGAGCAAATGCCACTGCAAAGCGGAAGTCTAATGCTCCTGTGTTTCAGTTTGGAAGGCGCTTTGAATCATCTGAGGACGAAGTCGATGGCAGCGAACAAGAAGAAGATGATGAAGCAGAAGAAGAGGATGATAATGATTGCGGTGATGCAAACAAAGCAAGTGATGATGAAGATGAGGAATCTTACATTATTGGAGCATCATCTGGAACCGATGGCAAGGTAAGAGATGTTCTTCGCCGCCTCTCAACAAAAGAACTGGAAGACAATCGCGCACGCATAGAAAAGACAGGTGTCGTTTACTTATCGCGAACCCCTCCATTTATGAAACCGGGAAAAGTTCGCCAGATTCTTTCACGTTTTGGAGAACTGGATCGAATTTTTCTTGCACCAGAAGATCCGAAATCATATACCCGTCGAGTTCGTTTTGGTGGAAACAAAAAGAGAAATTTTGTTGAAGGCTGGGTCGAGTTTAAAGACAAGAGAAAAGCAAAGTTGTGTGCATCTACTCTAAATGGTCAAATCATTGGTAAGACTGAGTCACTACTTGAAAATTTCACCGAACACATGTCAAGACTAATATATGATT